TAGTTCTTAAGCACCCAACCTCTGTATCCCCTCATTTTCTTAAAAAAAATATTGAAACCCTTTGTCTTAGCATCATGAATCATGGTTATTTATAATTGTTTAGATAGTGTATGACAATGCGTTTCGATTGACTGCTCAGATAATTCCTTAATTGAAATGTAAATACCTTTCATTAAACATCTGTCAAAAGTCAAAAAAGAAAAAAGAAAAGTAAATCAGATACACAGAATATATTTATTTTAACATATTTTATATGGCTAAGAACAATTATTTTATATTATTTATAGGAAGGGCGAAGTGGTTGGATAAAACTTTTTAAAATTCGTACACATGCGAAAAGTAAAGTAAAAAGAATACCATCTCTAATGAAAATTCAAAAAGGAAAGTCTATTAAAAATGGCAAAATCAAAAGCTCAAACACATCAAACGAATGGAAAACAACTGTCATATCCCTGCAAGCATTACCTAAAACACTGCTTTTCCATAATAAAAAAATGTTAAAAATTAATATGTATCAATGGTTTAATAGAAATCACGTCCCTTTTGACACAGATTCTTAAAGTTCATATCGAATCGCAAAGACGAAAATTTGTTTTAGAATATAGCAAAGTGCACTTGACCAATCAAATTGTAGGATTTAGTGGTTCTTAATTGTAAAGAATGAATGTAAATCATGTTCTTAGTAGACATTTGCGGAAACTACGTCTATACCTAGGATCACACTTAGACTAACGATTACATTTGACGAAAAACAAGAGGTCATCTCAAAATAAAAAAAAGCAACAATAGAGATCCTAGTAAAACCAAATGATTTTTTTTGGTTATGTAAATAAAATTTTTCGACGACACACTAATTATAACGTAGTGCAAATGGTCACAACAGACTTGAATCGCTGTATTGGATATGTCACAAAAACATCCCAATAACTTTGTATTATTATACTTTTCCGATGGAGTGTTCAAGCTGTAACTTATAGTGTGTAGTAAGTCTATTTGATTTTTTAGACTTCCTCTACATATCCTGGGTTTTCCAAACAATCTTTTGTCTTGTATAAGGTTCATAATCTTATGCTATAGTTCCAAAATTGTGTCTCACATTATTTTAGTATAGCAAAATCAGCAACAATTCGTTCAGAGGGTACTCTACCAACGTTGCACTTGAAAATCAAGGAATATGCGATATAGAGCAAGGAACACAATATAATTATTAAGCCCGTCGTAGCGCAATGCTTTTGAAATATTAACATCCTTCGTTTTCACGATCATATTTTGTATCCAAAACTGCTCCCTAACCGATTTAAATAGTTTACGATTTTTTAATACTGTGAAAGTACTTTTATTCGTGGGGTACCAATTTTCGTGGTTTTCGTGGATTGCTTTATCCACGAATTTAAGTGTTCAACGAAATTTAAGAACTGTTGTCCAAATCAGTACATGAAAAGATCCCCATTACCGTAGGTTTGACTGCATCGAATATCAACAAACGCACTATGAGTTAAAGATGCAACGTCAGAAAGGATTCTGTCCATTTAATCTTTAAAAACATAAATTGTACGACTTCTAACCTTTCAATTCTCACGAAAAATTACGTTTGATGATAAAAGTCAGACTTCCGGTGATGATACGCGATGATGAAGTGTTCCTTTTATATCCCAATAATTATCATACAAAAAAATGATTTCATTAAGGGCTTGCTTTTTTTTATCTCATAAGAATTGATTCTACAATTCAAGGGACATTTGTACCTTTTTTTCGTGTAATCTTATCTATAAGTGACATGTTTATGGCCCAATTAACACCTTTGGTGACCGTTAGTCTGTTGATCAAACAATCTCATGTTAATTAGTGTCATCACTTCTGATTAAAAACAATTAAAATGTTTACTTTGCAATTTCCTTCAATCGAGAAAATTTGTAAGAATAGTCGAATCGGCTTATTTCAGAAAGCAATTATCTTATAAAAAGTTTGATGAATGTTGTCAGTAATGAAAGGAGAACAAGTAGGTGAAAATAAACACCTTATTTTTAAATGTCCCAGAAATTATTATAAAACAACATATGATTATTTTTACGAGTTTTCGTTTCAGATGGCTTCAAATTCTTCACCCAATTTTTTCTCTTTTAAAAAACTAAAATCCACGAATTTAATAACCCACGAACATGCAACTTTTGCTCTAACCACGAAAATTGATACCCTTCTCGCCTGATATACCGTTGCACCTTTTATCCCTTTTAATCAACGGAACAATTTTGCGGATGAACTTTGTGTGATCGTCATAAGTGCACTCTAAAATACAAATGTACTGGTCTAGGATCAATAGTTACAGACCAGACCCACCCATGTTTATGGGAGAGAAATAATTATCGACACCGTGAAAAAAAACCGTCTATACTCAAATGATCCTAAAGATCTCTATAAAAATTGCACAAAAAACAAACAATTCAGCACCCGGTAGTCATATAAGTGCGTCTCTGAAGGCGAAAGCAGGTCAAGTAACCGCTCGGTTATGTTAGTCAGTCCAACTGTTCGACAGACCTTGCGTAAAAAACTTTCCTCAAAGTTTTCCTGGCCTCTATAGAAAGAAATGATTTATCTTTGGTCTGCAGCTTAATACTGAGTGAGCTGCAGCGTGTATGCTATTTGTACATCTGTCGTGCAGCCACTTCCTGTTGCTGATAGTTTGAAAATTTACAAGACTCATTGCACAGGGAAAATTTTCGTCAAAGTTCGACGCAAGTCTAGACCCGGTATTGGTTTTGTTTAAATTGAGAAGATATATAGTAAATTCTAACTTTTTGAGTGTTTGCTCAATTCAGAAAAAAAAAATAAAAGATAATAAAAATATACCGAACGGCAAGTATAATGCCATGAAGAATTAATAGTTCTTAAGCACCCAACCTCTGTATCCCCTCATTTTCTTAAAAAAAATATTGAAACCCTTTGTCTTAGCATAAACATAAAATACTGTCAACATGCTCCTTAGTTAATCGTCCTTTCTTTACACTAAGTCTTTTTGAAACTAATTTCTAATTGTCCCAACCTAACCAACGACAAAACGATTTTGTTTAATGTCTCATGTAAAATTTGTTAAAAGATGTTTGTCCATTCCATCATACTCCGTACATTAACAGAGTCTTCAACATGGATAGCACCATGTGCAATAATTAATGTGTACATGTTACTTCATATATTTCTTAAAAACCCTGCTCTTTAACTATAGAAACAAATCATACAAGTTAGAATTCGTTTGGAACGACGGTTTATATTTACGCTTTGAGACGACCCAAGATTTAAATGCTACCTGAAAGGGTAATTGTAATCCTAATCGTAGGTATATGACAGTTTCCGCAAATGTCTAGTGAGGGATTATCCTATTGTTTAGGCTTACGTACAGATTAACACTAGGTATAAATATAAATGAGTTAGAACTGCCCCGAAGCACACAAATAAAAAAAATATAAAGTTTACTACTTCAGAAAATTGGTACCGTCAATGTTGTTATGTGAATATTAATTACTTCAAAATTACAAAAAAAAAACTAAACAATAGCAAAGAAATGCAAAAAAGAAAAATGAAAGAAAACACTTTTGAATTTAGATACAACCTACATCTTGAGCTAATATGCTTACTCTAAAATTACTGGATCCGTGGTTGGAAATAATAGTCATATAAAACATTCTTATACAATTAAGACAGGAAGTTAAATCAATTTTCAAATGTCATAAAAAAAAAAGCATTTTATTTAAACTTTTAAATCTTACTCAATTATCTCACATAATAAAGTAGTATTTTGTGTAAAGGACTGGAATAAAATATTGGTTGTGGATTTAGAAATTAGTTGAAACTCAAATTGTGAATAGTAAACAAACAAAATGATAATTCTTCACAAGAATAATACATGATTTACATTCATACTCACAATAAGGAATCATATACAATTTCAACCATTAAATCGTACTTTGGTGTCATCTAATGTCATCTAATGACCAATCAAGAGATCATTTGAGCCTTGAGCACTTTACTATATTCTAAGTTTGTAAGAGAATGGTAATCCCTTTGAACGCTCGTACTTAATCATGAAGAAAGGGATTATCATTCTTTTACATATACTAAGATCATTTTTGAGATATATTACTAATCATCATAATTATCTTTACATACGGAATGAATAAATACAGGTTTATCAGCATACCAGAAAGCACGACTGCAAATTTTATGACTTACACACTTTTCCGGTTACAGCAATTAGTCTTTCCTTATATAACTAATTAAAAATTATATCGATAAAATGTATTTTGTAAATTTGCATACATCATTTAATGGAATAGTCAAACAATATTACATTAAAAGACCACAAAAGGACATCTTCCAAGCTTTGCCAATTTTATTCATAAAGGGGAGCAATCCCTGGTAAATACAGAGAAAATGTCGCCCGTTGTGCACCCGAATATTTAAAATCTTAACACAACCAAACACGATCTTACAAAATCTAAACAGCATTTTTACCTTTGGTCTGAATTGGTTTGAACGTGATCTGATCAAGTCTAAATCGAACGCTAGAACAATCTGTCTTGTTTACCTAGACATGACTGAACGGACTGAAGTCTATAGATCGGAGCAGCGTCTGAAAGTCGGGAAAAAGTCTTACCATTTTTCTCGTGGTAAATTCAGTCGTTTAAGGCTTTATAAGACCAAAATAACCGTTTAAGACTGAAATATTGTCCATAGTGTTTGTGATTTTTGTTTTTCATGTGGGTGTATTGATTTGATGTCATAAAAGATACGCCGTATTCCTTCCTTTTCATAAGATTACTCTGGCATGTCCTTAAAAATTATTGGAAAAATTATACTTTTGCATTAAAAGAGCCTTTTTTATACTACCTGTACACATATTAAGTAGAAATCATTGGAACTTATCACTGTAATTTGCAATGTATGTAACAAAGGGATATATTGTAAAATAGTTGTAATTTGTAAGAAGATGTAAATTATAATTGCAGATCAGGAATTGAGAATGGTCTTAGTAGGAAAGATAGGAGTCGGAAAGAGCTCAACAGGAAACATGCTCCTTGGTTTTAATGCCTTTAAGGCGAAAAGAAAAGCAAAGTCGGTTACAAGATATGCAAAGTCCAAAGAGGGAACAGTAAACGATAAACGGGTAGTAATAATTGATACCCCGGGTTTGTATAACACTACCCATAATAATAGCCGTAAGCATGTACAGGAAGAAATTAAAACTTGTATAGAACTAGGAGCACCTGGAATACATGCAATTATCTTTGTTTTATCTACTGCAATGCGATTTACTTCGGAAGACAAAAAATGTTTTGAGGATTTTTTTGAAATTTTTGGGGAAATGTTTTTCAACTACGCTGTAGTAGTTTTTACAGGCGCAGATCTTTTAAAGAAAGATAATTTGAGTTTAGAAGACTATATAGGCAGCGACAAAGTTTTAAAAAAGTTTCTTGATAAATGTGGTAATCGAATGATACCATTTAATAACTTGGATCCTACACCTCTGGAGGAAGAAACACAGAGAAAACATTTAGTATCAACAGTCGTTCAAATGAATGAATCGCTAAAGACATACTATACCAATGAACAGTTTATAACTGCCGAAGAGAACCTCCGTAAAATGGAAGAATTGAAACGGGACCAAGCTATAGAATTGGAAAGTCTCCGTCAGCAACATTCAGAGGAAATAAAACAACTTGAAATCGAGTATAATGAAAGACTTCTACAAATGAGAACCAAAATAAGACAAGAAATAGAGGAACAACATAGACAATACAAGAAGAAGGATAAAATAGAGACATGGTAAGAACTAAATAGAAAAAAGCGGCTTAAACGTCTTTAATATATTACATTGTATGCCACGTTTTAAGTTATGAAAGCTGCCGTTTTATATCGTGCATTATTTTATACCGGATATTGTCTGAAAATTTTTAAGTACCACTCCACCTACAAATGATCGAACAGATGATTCATGGGTAGAAAGCAAATAACTAAATTTGATACTGTTTGACAAATGAAAAATTATTCAAATTTACCTATAATTTTTACATAAAGCCGTGTTCAAAGAACACAAGCACTTTTCTGGATTTATGGCGAACCCAATGAAAGTTTTCCACAGTGCCATCTCTATCTTGACCAGGTATTTAAACTTTTGTAAGTTCACCTGTCCTATTGAATAAATACAATAGCTATTTTTCTCTGTGTAGTTTATTCACTGGGACCTTTAAATTTCTTCTAAGAGAAATCTATCACTCATTGATTAATTTACCTAAGTAAAAAAAAAATCTTGTAAATAGAGGAAAATACATGTTTTATACTCAAAACTGCATGTGATGTTACATTTATTCAATATTGATAATATATTTTCAATCGGTTGAATGTAAACAGTGATGCAAAAATTAATAAAATATAAAAAAGAAGATGTGGTATGATTGCCAATGAGACAACTCTCCACAAGAGACCAAATGACACAGAAATTATTATAACAACTATAGGTCACCGTACGGCCTCCAACAATGAGCAAAGCCCATACCGCACAGTCAGCTATAAAAGGCCCCGAAATGACAATGTAAAACAATTCAAACAAGAAAACTAACGGCCTAATTTATGTACAAAAAATGAACGAAAAACAAATATGTAACACATAAACAAACGACAACCACTGAATTACAGGCACATACATACAGAATGTGGCGGGGTTAAACATGTTAGCGTTGATTTCTGTTATATTAATAATATATTAATAATATATTTTCATTCAGTTTAATATAAACATTGATTCAATCATAAAAAGTTGATTTCTGATAAAACTTTCAACATTTATTCCTTTTAAAAAAAAATTTGTCTGACATGAATAAAAACTTGAAAATTATGATGTTCAAATTAAGATCTTCTTAAATATATTCTATAACTAAACAAAAAAAAATCAAATTTCAATAGGAACATTGATAAAAATTTTGTTAGAAATCAACTTTTTATGATTGAATCAATGATTATATAAAACTGAATGAAAATATATTATTAATATTGAATAAATACATCATCACACGCACTTAATGAGTATAAAAAAAGTATTTTTGTCTATATATAAGAAATTTTTTTTACTCAGGTAATTTAATCAATGAGTGATAGATTTCTCTTAGAAGAAATTTAAAGGTCCCAGTGAATAAACTACACAGAGAAAAATAGCTATTGTATTCATTCAATTGGACAGGTGAACTTACAAAAGTTTAAATACCTGGTCAAGATAGAGATAGCACTGTGGAAAACTTTCATTAGGTTCGCAATAACCATGACAATATCGTTTACATTGTTCAATCAATTTTGTTCAATAGCAATCGTTAGCTTATTGGAAACTAGTTACCTGCAGTTGGCATGCCTCTTTCATTTTGCATCTATACCAGTAGTATCTTCCTAATTATTTGAGATCGACTGGTTGCAGTGTCCCAAAATTATTTCTTAGATGTTTTTTATTTAAAACTTTCTTCTAGTGTTTTTAACATAAATTATAATTTTTTCACATAAACGAGCCACAGATAATCTTTTCTGATTTATTTTTTTATTTTCAGCACTGTTATGTAGTTGTCTAGACACATTTTATAGCCACAACACAGATTACTGAAAAGAAGAATGTATATACAGTGTCATCCTTGCTCTCTATGTTCCCCCTCCCCCCCCCCCCCTCCCAAAAAATGCTTGTTTGTCATCATCAGTGTCAGGGATGATACAATATATAAATCCATTTGAAAAAGCATGACTGTCGTTGATTAAAGATTAATCTCATACAGAATAGAATCATGATCAGAATTATTCTTTGGCGCTCAATATGTGTGATTATACTGTATTTGAAACTTTTAGTTCAATAGCTCATATCTTAAAACACAATGTCATTTGTACAAAGTATCATAGCATTTAGTAGTATGTACTGTATATATCTTAATTTAAAGAAACTAAGTTTACATTATTAAAGTTTTGATAAGTTCCTACATGTATACCTCAATTTACACCCTATACAAGACAGAGAGAAAAAATCACAATAAAATGGGTTTACATTGTAGCCATCACATGTAAAGTTCTTTTGAGTGTAAATTGATAAAAACCAATGCCAATAAAATGTTATCATTTTATTCACCCGAAGCGGTTGTCTGGATAAACATCCTTTGGGAACGCTGAAAGCCTAGGAAGCTTAAGTACCGGAACACTTGGAGAGGTATATGGCCGGAAAGTGTTATTCACTTTCGCAACCTTGCATTTATATCATTAAAAAAATATTAAAGGTAAACGATATTAAAGCAGTGTAGAAAGGGAGTAGAAAAAAGTGATCGAACCCTTCACAAGCATGAATATTTTTAACGCACCACATTCGTTGTGTGCCGGTTCATAGTCAAGGCCCTGTAATTCAGTGATTGTCGTTGGTTCATGTCTGTTATTATTTGTTTTTCGGAAATTGTTTGTTATACAATAGGTCGTTAGGTTTCTTGTTTGGATTGCTTCAAATTGTGAAATGTCGGAGCTTTTTATAAGTGACTATACGTATGAGTGTTGCTCATTGTTGAAAGCCGTTCGGTGACCTATACTTGCTTACATCCACGTCATTTAAACTCTGGGGGATAGTTGTCTCATTGGTAATGACACTACATCTCCTTATTTTATAATTAAATTGATTAAAACTACAATGTATATTAGTCTCCATATGCACCTACACATATATTAGTTTATATCAACGTGAGTATTAAATGTCCCTTTGGTATCGTCCTCTGCTGTTTTACGATAGTAGATCATATGTGTTATGGAAAATAAATTGTTATATTTTTTGTGTTTAAGAACTAAACAGTTTTTTGTTGTTGTTTATATCTTGCCTTTATAACAAAAATTATTCCACGAAATTCACCTGCAACAAACTGCTCCGTAATTGTTGAAAACTTATATCCAACAGCATAAAGCAGTTAGAAAGTGCAATATGCAAAAGTTCAGAATACTAAAGTAGAGGAATTTATCAAACCATTTTTCATTTCATACGTAAAACCTTGTTTGGAAATCCCATCGAGACTAAATCATTTAATGATAGATCAGCGATTGCAGTATGAGAAGAATTTTAATTGTGCAGAGTGATTTCTTAAATGTTACCGAGATGATAAAAAAAAACTAATGAATTGCATATCATGAAAGCAGATATGTCAATAAATTACGACGCCCAGTGGAATTGCCGGGTGCTACCAGTGTAGTTTTAGTGTTAAGCTTTCTGCTCGTAAATATTGTTTTCTTTCTGAATATGCATGAAATATTTTCCACTGGACGCTACGCAATCATGTACAAATAATCACTTAATTGCACACATATAAAAACACGTCGCAAAGCTGTTATTTTGTTTGGTATAGAGGAGAGAGGCAGAAGAAACCAAAGGGATATTGAAATTCAAAGTCAAAAGCAAAACAAACAAAAATACCGAACTCCAACATGTCCAAGGAAAATTCAAAACGGAAAGTCCTTTGGTACAGTCATTTCCTTGTGTAGAAAATGGTGGATTAAACCTGATTTTGTAGCTAACTAAACCTCTCACTTTTATGACAGTCGCATAGAATTCCATTATATTGATAGAGGTGTGAGCAAAACAAACAGACATAAAAGGTAAAAATGTCAAAAATTGGGGTACAGCAGTCAACATTGTGTTATAACCTTAATCACTATAAAAAAACAAAGAACTTTTTCAACAAAGAAAAACAAAATGGCATATAGACACTCTATAGACAAAGTACATAAGCAAAAATAAAAGACAAGAATACAAAAAGATACCATCGCATAATAACTTAATGGCAGGATGTATAAAAACGAAAAGGCCATGCCATGGCAAAAAGCGAAAAACGACCAAACGGCAGACAACACTCTACTAAACACATCATAGAAAACTAACTTAGACTTAGCAGCACGAACCCTACCAAAAACCGAGGATAATCTCAGCTGCTCTAGAAGGGTAAACGGATCCTGCTCCACATGCTGCACCGTCGTCTTGCTCATGCAAGTACACATTTGGTGATTAGTTTGATTAGGTAGGTCACATTCGGGAAAAGTGGACGGGTTTGTGGTTACGACAATTGGAACATACCCGTCGTCATCTTTTAAACAGATATCCCATAACGGTCAACCATCTGGTGATGTCGTCCATAAAATTTGAAAGAGAATGACTCCAATCCCACCACTTGAACATGAAAAGAAATGAAAAGTTTACAATTGAAAGCTGAAATCATCTGTTGTGTCCTAAAGTTTTGTTCTCAAACTACCCTCATTGTCAGTTTCTAGATGTAAGTCAAGATCTGAAACAAACTTCATTGTTTATGTTATATCCTTTATTTCAAGTGCGATGGAATAATTGCGTTCAACATTGTCACCAAACATTGAATTATTAAGTGAAAGGACATCATTTATATAGCAAAACGCGAAGTTAGAGGATACTGATTGCTACTTTTCATTCTTTCTACCTTCTGTTCAAAAATAAAAACAACACGTTAAATAAATGCATGCGTCCGAAGCGCTTTTCTGGATGTACCTTCATCAGGAACGCTCAAAGCCGAATATTTAATGAATCGAAACAGAGTTGAAGAGCTGTTAAAAAAAAAGGAATGACTAAAAAAATAGCCAAATCCATCTAAGGTCAACTGTTGCCGCAGGGAGTTAATACCTTAGTTTCTTTTTTTAATTTTAAAATTTGTAAACGGACAATTTTAGAAAGGTTTGTCATAAATCATGTCATTACCGAAGTTCTGACTACTGAGATGATGATACCCTCGGGGACTGATAGTCCACTAGCAGAGGTATCGACCCAGTGCTGTTAAAAATGAAAACAACACGTCAAATAATTGCATGCGTCCGAAGCGCTTTTCTGGATATACCTTCATCAGGAACGCTCAAAGCCGAATATTTGAAAGCCGAGGATGTATAAGAACCGAAACAATTGAAGAGCTATATATGACCCAAAAACATACCTAAAAAAATAGCCAAATCCATTTAAGGTCAACTTTGCCTGAAGGAGTTGAAACCTTAGTTTCTTCATAATTTTAAAATTTATAAAAGGACAATTTTAGAAAGGTTTGTTATAAATCATGTCAGTACCGAAGTACTGACTCCTGAGCTGATGATACTCTCGGGGACTGATAGTCCACCAGCAGAGGTATCGACCCCGTGCTGTAAAAAATTAAAACAACACGTTAAATAATTTCATGCGTCCAAAGCGCTTTTATGGATTTACCTTCATCAGGAACGATCAAAGCCGAATATTTGAAAGCCGAAGATGTATAAGAACCGGAACAGTTGAAGAGCTACATGTATATGACAAACAATTACCTAAAAAATAGCCAAATCCATCTAAGGTCAACTTATTCGAAATATATGGCATATTTGTATCAGATGTGCAATTTAGACTATTTTAAATCTTGAGTTGAATTGTCATAAAAACAAGTAGCAAAAAACTGAAAGTGAAATAGAATATTAAGAATCTAAATCAATTATAAAAATGAGAGTTGTAAATGTTTTGGTTGGTTTGTCGATCTCTGCAGTCTTATACAAGGGAGGGTCATGCAAGGCAAGTCGAAATGGATTTGGACTGCCAGTAGAAAAATAGGGTGTGTGCAATAAGGGTAGAAATTTAAACCTTGCTACAGGTCACCTCCAGACTCTTAAAGAGTTTAAGTGTGCAGAGAAAACCGCGCTCGCCCTATCCAATGAAATGGAATCGACATACCTATTGCGAACGGATGTGGACGCATACATTGTTTGTATTTATACATTCTGCACCGCACACAGCTGAACGGACGCATAATCTTGCAAGAGCTTCACTTCTGAATAGGGACATTTCAGTGATGATCATAGATTATTTCTATAACTTAGACACTCCTTCAACCGTGGAGTGTACATGTTTTCCAACTGCATGTGTACAGAAACCAACTAAATGTATCGTCAGAGGTGAAATATTCGAGTTAAAACCAGTTGGCAAATAAAATATGTACTATAACTTAACCAAAACTTCTGGTACATGTATCCATATTGATATACTCAGGTTAATATCCTTGTGTTCTTATGAAATGGAGTTTGTTTGTTTTTTTGAACCCTGCCACACTTTGTATGCGCCTATCCTAAGTGATCAGGCGTCTGCCATTCAGTGGTTGACGTTTGTATATCATATTTGTTTTTCATTTGTTGTGTTGGACATAAAATCAGGCCGTTAGTTTTCTCGTTTGAATTTTTTTACATCTTCTATTTCGGGGCCTTATACATGCATAGCTTGCTATGACGTTACGCACGTTATTGCGTCAATACCGTGAAATCAACCTGTCCACACTGATAAACAGCTTTTCTATGAAATCGGAACAGTTAAGCTATATACAATTTCTATTCATAGAATAGGCAGGTATTAATGTTCCCAAAAAATGAACAAATTGTTTTATAATATTTTAACATAGTCTCAAATAAGGACAAAAATATTGGCAAAACGTCAAAAATATGCATGTCAGACGTAACAGACTATACGCATAATAACTTTTACAGGGGTGTTTATGCTCGTCGAAACAGTTTAAAATCCACGAAAATTCGCATGAATGATATGCGTCATATATAAAGTATTGCGTCATTACTGAATTTTCGTTGATGCAACGGCAAAAGCTGATTTTTTTGCAAAAATGAATAGTCTTCCTCACGGTCAGATTTCGGAAAATGGTAAGTTATAAAAAATCAGAGCTTTTTAAAATATAAGATTGCATGAAATTTCGCTTTCATACATCATGCTCACTAAAGTACATAGCTATACCATTTCAAATCCTAATTTTTACAGCACTCACACCACAAATAAAAATGAAACTGCTTCTGGCAAATGTCTAGCACGAATGTCCAATGTCGAATTACGCCTTTTTTTACGAACAAACTGTCAGTTGCGATGTAATTTAAATAAAATTTCGATTGGTTGCATACACAATAGTGCTTTTCCGTAATTGTACTTTAACCCTAAAAATAGTTACATACTTCTTGATAATTGCGTAGTCAAAACGACTTCGTTTTTAAAGAAATCAATTGTCTTGCAAGTTTGTCCACTGAACTGATTTTCTTATGTTTTCAACGTTGTCGATTCGGGACGCTATTTATGCCTTTTAAAATCAAATCGAAATATTTGTTTGTTTTGTGTTTTGGTGTTTAACGCAACTTTTGGCGTCCTTGGTTGTATCATATCGGACAGTTTTCTATGGTAGAGAAAGTTGGAGAACCGTGGTTGAAATATAAATTTTAAACCCGTTGAACAGACTCGCAAAATGCATCAAATAATATCCAAACATTTTTCAAAAATATTCTTATCCGATACTTATCGTGTTTAAATAAAATTGTGATACATCTGATTTAATGGAGATATATACGATTGCAACAAAACGCAATTTATAGGAAATTTTAAAAAGGTAAAAATGATTCAAAATGTCAGGAACTCGAATTCAGAAAGAAAAATGATGACCATTTTGATACAAATTATAATAGAGTACTTTATAAGAAAGACCCGTTTAACTTGTAATCCCCCATACCCACACACTATTTTTTCTTATTAAAGCAAAATGGATATCTTCCTCCACTTCTTCTCGGATTTAAATGGAGAAACATTGCATGCGAAATACGTTCTACGTCATTTGGACTTCGATAGAGAATTATCTCATTGACAATCATACCACATCTTCTTTTTTTATATATATATATATATAGACCCTATTATCTTACCCTAATGCATATATGCGTATATATGTGTTATTTGTTACTTGCGTAACTTCCAGTGGGAAATATTTCATGCATATTCAGTACAACCAA